GGGCCGCGGGCCCCCGCCAGTGCCTCCCAGGATGTTCAGGTTTGGTGGCACTGGGGTGGCCGCAGGGAGGGGCACAATGGCTCTGGTCCACAGGTCCCCAAGTGACACTGGGTTTGGGGGTTTGATGGGATCTTGGGCATCCTGCTCAGCTGTGTCCAATATGGCTCAGGCAGTGGTGACTGGGAGGTCTCAAGTGTCCGTCTGAGCGCTGACAGTCAGCAAGAAGGGGATGCAGCTGGTGGCTGAGGGTCCCCATGTCCCTGTCCCAGACACTGGCTCCACAGCTCACAACGAGGCATTTAATGAGACTCTGGGGTCTCCGGCCCGGCTCCCGCCCGCCAGATGTCTCTGGGGACTGCGGGTCAGCAGGACCATGCATGCTGACTGCTCCGTCTCTGCCCCATGGGGCTGCGCATCCCGCCCGCCCGCGGGTCTATCGGATCCGGGTGAAGAGGTTGAGCACAGACACGGATTCCTGGGAACAGGGAACGTGAGTGACTGTGCGCCAGGGTGCTTGGAGAACCCAAGGGGCATGATAGCAGGGTAGAAATGTGTAGACACCCATGTTACCTTTGTAGAGCGTGTTTTGCTGAAAACATTCCAGAACCGCAGGGTCTCGTCTCCGGCCCCGGTGACAATGGCCTCCCCATCAGGAGACATGGCCTACAAAGAGGATAGAAGAACCCTAGTTGTTCTCCAGCTACAGCAGGAAGCTTCCGAGATCCAGGCAGAAGCCAGGCAGGTACAAAGGGACATAGACTTTGGGCTGAGGGTGCAAGGCACACAAGGCCCCGATAGCAGTGGGTCTGACCCCTAGGTTCTCAAACTGGGCAAGACACAGCTGAGCCTACCAGGCAGCCAGGGACACTGATGCTTCTTCCTGTTGGACAGAGGTCTGGTGGGGAGGATTCCTCCACTTCCCACATCCCAGGCTGGGGGACACTGGTTAGTGGTGACTGCTCCAGAGAATAGGAGCAGACAGGAGGAAGACTGGGGGTACTGTTGTCATGACCCTTGGCCCAGACAGACGGAGATGAGACAAGCCCACTGCATGGAGCCCCAGGGGGCTGATACTCACCAAGTAAAGGACACGGTATGAGTGGCCAGTGAGCTTGGCCACCTGCGTAAGGGATGGGTATTTCCACACAAGGATCTGGTTCTGTGAGTAGCCATGTGTGCTCACCTAGTGTAGAGACTAGGTGTTAGAGTGGCAGGGACTTGGTGCTGTTCTGGGGGGACTCTCTTCACCCCCACATGCCCACCATGGGCACTCACCAGCTCGTTGGCATGCTTGGACCAGGCCAGATTGCACACCTGTGAGCCAGTGTCAATGCACTGGAGTGGCTGGCCTGTCAGGGTGTTCCAGAAGCGGATGCAGCGGTCGGCTGTGCCACCACCAGATGCCAGCAGTCCGTGCTGGTGTGGGGACCAGGCAATAGCCTTCACGGCCGCCAGGTGCTCTGTGTACTGCTGCACGGGGCTTACCGTCGAGTGGTTCCACACAAGCAGCTGTGGGAAGGCTGAGGCTGTGATAGGAGGCCACCCAGGGACCGGAGCCAGGCACACCCCCAGGTCAACTCTGGGGATGTGAGCTACATGTCCCAAGAAGATCCCAGAGGCCTTGAATACCCAGGCCATGACCTGTGCACCCCCCTCCCTTGGGGGCCTCAAGCCACACCCTTGTCCCAGGTTCTACTGTGGACCTAGCTGAACGGTGGCGACAGGGAGGTGGTTTCCTGTGGCAGAGCAGGAGTGACAGTAGTCATACCTTGTTGTCATTGCCCCCTGAAGCGAGTAGCTGGTGATCTGTGGACCACTTGAGGCCACACACCTCCTGCCTGTGGCCCTGTAGTCGCCGCTCTGACTGTAGGGGTGGTGTGCGGATGTCCCGCTGCAAAATCATTCGGTCACGGCTACCGGATGACAACTGGTCCGCATTCCAGGCTAGTGCCCCTACAGGGTGACAGGAGGAGGTCAGCCTGGGCCTGATCCAAGGCTGTGGACTGAGGGCATAGCTGGGCTGGCCAGGTCCTCACCCACTCTCGCCGTGTGGCCTTCCAGCACAGACAACTTCTTCCCAGCAGCTGCGTCCCAGATCTGCACGAAGCCTTTGTGTGTTCCTACTGCGACCAGGTTCCCCTAGGGTGACAGTGTGGCCAGCCGACCATCAGGTGGGTGTGGGAACAAGTCTGCCCATTTCCTGTCCTTCACTGGATGCTGGGTAGTCTCTGAAAGCTCATTTCTTTTGTTTTGCTTTTCAAAACAAGGGCTCACTCTGTAGCACAGGCTAGCCATACACTCAAAATGTAGCCCAGGCTGACCTCAAACTCAGGGCAATCCACAGGGAACCACTACACCCACTACACACTCCTTTGCTTAAGCCCTGTGCTGGGGCTTTCGTCACTTGTCCCAGTCCTGTGCTGGGGCACGCCTGCCACCCCAGCACTCCAGTCTTCAGTGAGCAGCAGTGCAGTCTCACAAAGAATGCTGAGGCATGGCTAGGAGGCGTCTGCCTGTGTGGCACTAGGGAGGCTAGCCTGCAGCGAAGCCCCTTACTCAGAGATCAGAGAGTCAGGTGAGCTCTGCCCTCCTCACTCACCCGCTCAGACCAGCCCACAGAAGTCACTGAGTCCCCTTCCACAGAGAGGTCACAGAGCCGGGTCACCTGTGGGCAGAAGGTTACAGTTAGGGGACAGGTGGGCTGGCCTGTGGAGGGGCTTGTGCCTCTCTAGTCACCACTCAGCCCGTGGGGCCAAATGGCACAGAGATGGGATCAGAGGCTGGCAAGGACACCAGTGTGCCTCAGGGCGAGGCGGGTGTGTGTCTGCGGGGAAGAACCGGTGGCTCTGTACAGGGTGCTCCCCTCCCCTGTGGGCTACACTGGCTGTGCTCACAGTCAAACCCCCATTGACGGTTCCTGGGCACTCACCTGGCTGGTGCACGCGCTCCACAGGTACACGCAGGTGCCCAGCCCCACGCTGAGCACGTTAAGGGAGGACCAGTCCACCAGGTTGAGGTAGAAGTCGTCCTGAAGCTCAGGCGCATCCAGCACCTTAAAGGGGATCTTGGAGATCTTGCGCGTGGGCTTCCGTGGTGACCGAAGCAGCTTCTGACTGCAGGGACACCAGCAGGATGCCATTCGCTGCTGCCCTCCCCCGCCAGGCCTTCGCCCCGCCCTGGAACCGGGGGACCCAGCCCTGGCTTACCTCTTGTTGCTAACAGGAGACAAGGAATAAGGGGACACGTCATTGCCATCATCAGGACTTGAGCGCTTGCTGCTGAGGGAATACTGGAGGCAGAGACACCATGCTGAGTGGCTGCTGTGGCATCGGGACTTGGGAACCCCAAATACCCCCAAAGCTGACTCAGAATGGGCTGGAGGTACAGAAAGACAGAACAGGTCCCCCTGAAAGCCCCTTCCCTCAAGGGCTCCTGGCTGCCCCTGGCTCACCGTGAAGAGGCCCTTGTGCTCGGGCGTGGCCGGCTGCAACCGCCGATCTTCTGTCTGCGGATCCTGCACCTTCTCGATGCCCGCGCCCAGCAGCTCGTTCTTCAGAAGCGCAGAGTAGGCCAGGCCATCTGTAGGCAGGCACAGGGCAAAGGCAGGGTTGGATGTGTCTCAGGGGGCAGGGCCTCAGGAGGGTGGAGTCAGTGGGGGCAGGGCATAAAGGGAGGCCAAACTAGCTAGGTGGGGCTTGCGGCCAAGTGGGCGGAACTGACCCTCACCTTTGCCATTGTCTGAGGTGGCATCCTTGGCCTTGCGGTTCTGGCTGGGGGACTTCTCATTCTCCTATGGGAGAAGAGCTCATGAGGGGACACCGCAAGGAGGTGCTGTGCCCACCTCAGGGTGACAGGCCCTGTGCCCTGCCCAGCGCTCACGTTGATCCTGTGGAAGTTCACACTCCAGTTGGCCCCGGCCCTCGAGGGGATGAAGCGGTCACCATGCTTGCTGGGTGAGGATACTGGGGAGTTGGCTGGTGTCAGGGTCCTCCGCATCTCTGAGACCTGGGAGAGGGTGAGGGATCAGTTGCAGTGACCCCCAGGGCAGGTCCCTCAGCCCATGCACAGTGCCCTTGTGTTCAGGGGCAGGGGTCTGTCACTCACACATGGCACTGTGTTTTCATTCTGGATGATGATCTGTCGCAGGAGCCTGCGCTCATAGTCCTGGTCCATGGCGGGCAGGCGGGGCGGGGCCCGCAGCCGAGGGCAGCCTGCAAGGCAGACAGAAAGTAAGCATAATGGCAGCCCAGGCCCCTCAAGAACATAATAGGGAAGACAGGCTGAGCTGTTTTGTAAATCTTATTTTGATATATCAACCCCTGAGATACAACCTTCTTTGTACCAAAGGATAACCTTGAATCTTGACTGTTCTGCCTCAGATGTATGTCACCATGGCCAAGGACTCAGCATCCCTTAGTTGGGAAGTGGGTGCATGTGTGCCGACTCAGTCCCTCGAGTGCTCAGTGCTATTGTGGAGGTAGGGCCGGTGCCAAGCCACAAGTGTGTGCATGTGGGAACTGGGGACACCAGCCTATCAGCAATTGGGGCAACTGTGACCCATGACTCTTGGTGCCCACTCAGACACCATACACTTGAGATGCCAGGGGCAAAGCCCATACACAGCACTTTGCTGAGCCCACGGGCTGTCCAGGATGGCAGGCGATGGGGCTAATGCTTGCTAACACAGGACCAGGCCCTTGGCCTATACACCACGTGGCTTTTATACGCCATGGCAGAGACACAGAAAAGGCAAAAGGGACAGCACCCAATATAGAAAGCTCCAAGGCTTTGCCAACTTCTTTCTCCATGTCCCCCTGGCCCAGGCCCAGGCCCAGACACTACAGCATGGGCTCAGGCACATGCACGCACCATCGCCACCACAGAGTCCCTCTGCCCAACACTGAGCCTCCCCTTCCACTCAAGGTTGAACATACTGAATACAGAGAAACACAAAAGGCAGAAGCAAAAGACTGGCTCCAACATCCTTTTCCAGAATATTCTCAAACCAAAGTTTGGTCCTCACTCAACATCAACTCCCCAGCCTTCCTGGAGCCTGGCATTCTCTGGGCCCCAGTCCCTTAAACAGTTGAAGGAGCCTGTGCCCCAAGAACTGTACTATATTCCCAGATGTCCCGGAGATGGACACCCACATGTGGCCTGTACAGCTGCAAACCCATCCACATCTGGAGCGCTACCCAGCCATGAGCAGAAAGGCACCAACACGACCAGTCAGGGTAACAGAGACTGCTTGCTCAAGGCACTCCAGTGTGGAGCAGGCAAGAGATGGAGGCTGGCGACCAGCTGCACCCAAGGCCCTGGCACCACCCCTGCCCAGGCCCAGCAAAGCACCAGGTGTCTTCACTCCACTCTTCCCTCTGCCACCTGCCCTGCAATTACACATGGGGACAGGGTGCCTGAAGAGCTGGGCCGTGTGAGTGGCCCAAGAACAGCTGTGGTCAGCTCCTGTAGCAGTGCCCATCTGGACACAGGGCTCCTCATTCATGTGTGGCCTTAAATCAGATGGCCCATAGAGCTCAAGTCCTAACCAGGGCCTGTGCTCCCAGATACCCTTAGGAGGAAGGGTAGGGAGTTCCCAAGGACACAGGCTAACAAACAAGCCTGTTTCCCAGTTTCCTGCCCCTTTTTCTCCCCTTTTCCCCCCCCCCCCCCCCCAGTGAGACACACCTATCTTGCTTGCTCCCTGTGCAGACATGCAGCTCTGGTCAGACCCTTCAAGAGTCCCTCTTAGTAGGTGCATGGGAAGACCCTGGGCTCTTCCTGGGTGTGTGGGGAAAGGACAGGGGGACAACACCTGCAGAGCTGCCAGCCAGAATGGACAGAAAGTGCCAGTCAGTAAGTAGTGGCTGGCATGACAGAGGCAGAAGTGGGTACATGACAGGCCCCAGCTGGCCTTCTCCTGCTCAGCAGCCTTTCGGCCACAGGAGACAAGCAGAGCAGGTCTTGACAACTCCCATCAGCTAAGGACCCCCAGGGTACTGCAGCTGCCCTAAACGCCTGGGGTCTGACTGAGTCACCTCACCTAGCCTGCGGGAACACCCCTAGTCCATGAGTCCACACCCCTTCATTTGTTCGTCCGGTGGCCTGCTGCTCGCAGCCATCCTGTACCAGCTGGGCAGACCAGGTGGCCACCACTGTCCTTCAGAGCTGGCTCATGGGGCTCTGGTGCCCTGGCCTGAGAAAAGAGATACCTGCCACTGAAACTGGGTCCCTGTGTGGCACACTAAGTACCCAGATCCACTACAGGAGGCACAGGGGCTCTAGTCTCCACTCATGGCACACCTGTAGCTCTCCCAGTCACCACCATGCTGCGGCAGTGTGCAGACCCCTGGAGACTCTGGTTTTAGAGGACTTTTCCCCAGGGCAAGGGACCCAGCACCAAGTTCTCTCCTAGTCCCTGGCCTCCAGTCACCATGCATGTCCTTCACAATGGCTCTAGGGACAGGAGAGGAACAACTTGTCAAGGGCCACAGTTTTGTTTTGTTTTGTTTTTTTGAGACAGGGTTTCTCTGTGGCTTTGGAGGTTGTCCTGGAACTAGCTCTTGTAGACCAGGCTGGTCTCGAACTCATAGAGTTCCACCTGCCTCTGCCTCCCGACCACCAACGCCCGGCAAGGGCCACAGTTTTGAGGACACACCCAGCTACAGCTCAAGGAAGGACAGGCAGTCCAAGCATGCGTGCCCCCATCCCTAGCAGAAATGAGGGAAGCACTTATTCAGGCACAGTGACATGCACCAGGGATGCCACGGCAAGAAGCTTTTAGAGTAGAACACTGTCTGGAGGTTGGAGTGATACCTTATGGGAATGGGGTGGCCTTTGGGATGATGGGAAATTCTAGAATATAAACACATGATGGCCACACCACAGCCATTTAATAAAATGTGAGATGTGAGAATATTACTTGCATAAACACATAAAATCTGAAAAAAATAAATTAAAAAAATGAACTTTTTGGGCTGGAGAGATGGCTCAGAGGTTAAGAGCACTGACTGTTCTTCCAGAGGTCCTGAGTTCAATTCCTGACAACCACATGGTGGCTCACAACCACCTTGAATGAGATCTGGTGCCCTCTGCTGGTGTGCAGGCAGAAGACTGTATACATAATAAATAAAATCTTAAAAGAACTTTTCAAGTCAGACAGTGGTGACGCACGCCGCACTCGGGAGGCAGAGTCAGGTGGATCTCTGTGAGTTTGAGGCCAACCTGGTCTCCAGAGCAAGTGCCAGGACAGACTCCAAAGCCACAGAGAAACTCTATCTCAAAAAAAAAAAAAAAAAAAAAAAAGAAAGAAAGAAAGAAAAAAAAACAAGAAAGAAAGAAAAGAGAAAGAAACTAGAGCTTTGGGGGTGTGGTGCCACCTCCCATATTTTGTGTCAAGTTAAGTGTCAGGTTAAGTGCCAAGCAGGAGGCTGAGGCAGGAGAATCCTGTCCTGAATTTGTGGCTTTGGAGCTGGAGCCCACTACAAGGGAGCAGCAGAGGCTTGGAATCCCAGCTGCACACAGAAGCTGCCCGAAGGGTGGTGGATTCAGGGCTCACTCAAGGAAGCAGGAATCATGGGGTGATCCTGCGATTTGCCCCTCTACTCAGGGATCCTCAGAAGACTTTGAATCCTGATCCCCTGACACGACACAGAAAGTCTTGGCACTCCAGAAGCCTGAAAATTAAACCCTACCTGGGAGAATCCAGGAAACAAATGGCAGGCCTGGACATGGACATGGTCCCCTCGATGACAGACCAGTCTCTCTCCCTCTCACATGGTTCTTGTTGCTATACAGCCCACACTGACCTCCAACACTCCACTTTCCAGCCTCAAGCTCCCAAGGCTTGAGGCCTCCTGCCCCTGTCCCAGTAGGCCCCACATCAGCAGGGCGCTTCTGGAATTTTAAGGAAGAAACAGCAGAGGAACACCCCAAGCCTGCTCATTGACAGCCAGGTCCTTCCAAGTCCCTGAAAACACAGGTCTGTAATCTCAGCTACTGTTTGCCTGGACAATCTACTAAGATCTTGTCCCAAAATAAAAAGGAATGGCTGTGGGGGTGGCCCCCATGAGGACCAGAGCTCAGATCCCCAAAACTGTCATGAAGACTCAGGTGCTGCTGAATACACATGTGTCAGCTAACAGAGACTTTTCTCAGGGGAATAAGGAGACACTGACAGGGTGGGGCACATGACATCCTCTCCTCTGGCCTCTCTGTGTGTACCTACACAAACACGCATGTACACCATACACACTATACACACACACCAAGAAAAGAAAAGGTTTAAGGAAATAAAAGGGGCTAGAAAGATGGCTACATGGTGAGGACGACAAGCAAGGAACCCTGGTTTGGTTCCCAGAACCCATGTGAGGTACCTGCAACAACTACAGTTTAGGACATGATGCCTCCTCGGGCCTCTATGGGTACTGAATGCACATAGTTTGCATATAGACAAGCACATGCTAGTGCACATACAACATACACACATACACACAAACACACACACATAAAAATAAACATAGCTTAGGGTCAACGAGATGGCTTGGAGGTAAAGGGCACTGGCTGCTCTTCCAGAGGACCTGGGTTCAGCTCTCAGCACCCACAAGGTGACTCACAATTGGAACTTCAGTTCCAGAGGATCTGACACCCTCTTCTGGTCTGTCAGGCACAAATGTGTGACCCAGATATATACACAGGAAAAATATCCATACAAAAAAAACCAAAAATAACAAACAAAAAAATCCATTACACATCTTTTTTTAAAAGGCTGTGGGCACCACAGTCTAAAAGAGCAGCTGGGGCGTAGCTTATTGATGAGTTAGTTATTTACTGTCTGGCGTGTGCAAAGGCCAGGAACTCCATGCCCAGCACCAGGGCTCCTGCAGTGCACATTTAGCTCCTGACCTCTAGTACAAGGAAGCAGAGGGCTAGTACTGGCAAAGAGAATACGCCCTTGACACAAGCTCCAAGACCATGGCCCATATGACTACTGGGTTAATTCCTCAAGTACCAAGTACACCCTGGAGATATCCTTCTGGAACCCCATTAACATTTGCAGTACCTGGTAGGCATGGTGGCGCACTCCTTTAACCCCAACACTCAGGAGGCAGAGGCAGGCAGGTCTCTGAGCTCAAAGCCAGCCTAGTCTACACAGTGAGTTCCAGGGCAGTCAGGGCTACATAGAGAAATTCTGTCTCAAAAACCAACCAACCAAACAAACTAATATTTGTAACACCTGCCATCCCAGCCAATGAGAGCC